TTCGTAGAACCCAAAGAATACACTCATGCCCAAGAGAGCGAGGGTCCGTGTTGATGGGACGCGGCGGAGGACAAAGGGCGAGATTCTCGCCAGAAAAAAGAGAAAGGCCGCCAAGGCGATGCAGCGGCGCAGGAGGCAGAGGCGGAGCCGGGCGCTTTGGAAGAGGTGGAGATAGAGATTGAGGAGTCTTCTCCTGAAGGTGGACCCTCTTGTGCTGGTGGTGATGTGGCCGGCCCCTTCACAGAGCCGCGGTCAATTATTTCCTCCGAAATTGAGCCTGGAAAGCCAGCCGCGAGCTCCGCTTCTGCTCGTACTGCCCTTTTCAGGACTGCTCGTGCCGAGCCGGGAGGAGAGAGGACAGAGATCGCGATCCTGGTCTCGGGGCCACAGACGTCAACGTCCAACGAGAGAATGGTGAAGGTTCGCAAGGCCTTGTCGTCTTATATATTACGCCACGGAGCGCGGCGACACAATATCACACTCGAGTCGGAAGGAGCTGTTGATCTCCGAGTCATTGCAGCTTCTCCACCACTCCGCAAACTGGAGGCTACACCAGAAGAAATCATGGCCATCGCTGGAAGAGACGATAAGGGCCGCTTTCGGATCCTTCGCGCCAGCTCCGGCCCCGATTGGCGCCGTAGCGGCCGCAACGCTACGTGTACCATGCATGATCATAACCTTTTCACCGATTTTGGATCACTTCATTTCTTTAGGCCTCGAGTCTCTTTGTGACGACCCGCAACGACCTCTCTCTGTTTGGAGACATGACCACGATGGAGCGTATCGGCAATTACCACTTCGTGATCCACGCGAAGCATACGTCTTGCTCCTCGCACCGGACGGCCCGTTCTCCTCTTCGGTTCCGCGGCCAGTGTCTGGTCGCACAATCGATTCGGCGACATCCTCGTCGCCTGCAGTCGCACGATGATCCTCTCTCCGGCGATGCACTACGTCGACGACTACGGCTCCATGGAGGACACCGTCTCCGCAAGTACAACGGCTGTTTACGGATTTCGATGAAACCGAGTAAGCGACAACCGCCAGAGACATCCCAACGAATCCAGGGCGTGATCATATCATCGGATCCAGACAACCTTATCCTTACTCCGTGCCCCAAACGAGTTACGACGATGTGTCAACAAATGGATCGACACCTCGAACTCGGATCCATGCAAAATTGGCGGGCAAGTGCAATTTCCTCACCGGTCGACTGTTCGGGAAGCTGGGCCGCGCTGCGCTCAAGGCACTGTATGCTAGAGCTCATGGGCACAGATTCGCACACTCACACCCCCGACAAGCCAACTCGCTCCTCCTTGTTGGCTCTCAAGGACATCATTCGACATTGCCGACCAATGACGGACACACGATCGCCTACCAGATCCGTCTACAGCGTCATTTTCACCGATGCATACTTTCGACTCGGTTCCAACGTCTACAAACCTGACGATCCTGACATTCCGACTTGGGACTCGAAACAGACGTCCGAGATCGAGAATGGGTCGGCGGCCGTTTTCTTCCACCACGGTGATGTGCAACGCGCCGCCAATTTCCTGGGTCGTCCTCCTTCCCTCTTGGTTCGACAGTTTTCCGCCGATCGCGCTTTCATCTACCTCCTCGAGGCGTGGGTGGCGATCTTGGCGCCACTTGTCTTGTCTTCGAACCTTGGCTCTACGTCCAGTGTTGTGACAACGAGGCATCACGACACGCCTTGCTGAAAGGTGTGGGCAAACACCAACCCCTGAACTGCCTCATTGCGGCACATTGGACGTGGCACAATCGGCGCAGTCTTGCACATCGACTCGAACGAGTTCCGACCAAGGCCAACATCTCCGATGGGATCAGCGGGTTCGAGTACGTCGAAGAATCTGAGGCTTGGACTAAACTCGATTTGCCATTAGTTGCCCTAACTAGTAGAGCGGCTAAGATCATTGGCGATATTCACTTTGCCTCTTCCACGGGATTTTGCGACATGCCCGAGATTCACCGATTGCACACTCGTTCGAACTCGATGTTGCTTTGATACTTTTCCTCCGGACGAGTGGCGTTTGCCTGCGATGGGAGGACGCGACCACCACCGATGGGAAACAGTCGGTCCTCCCAGAAGGAAGCCCCGATCTTTCCTGTACGGAAGATCTACTTCGATCTAACCGATCGAAATGCAGACTTACGCCACCGATGCGGAAGCAGGTGGAAAAAGCTCCGCCTGCACCAGGGATTTATGGTACATCGTG